TGACCCTCATTAGCTCCGATGAACTAGCACCTGCGGAGAAATTGAACAGGTACGACTTGGACCTTGCTGCAGCGAAATGTTTGGCTTGCCCTTCATATACCAAGAGACAAATGGAGACCGAAATACCTGTACTGCTACCATTCCAGACCAGTGCACAAAAAATGTGATTGGTTTTTGACAAATACAAGGACAACAGCATATAAAGGATTGTGAAAAAGCTTAGAGAGGTGAAGTTAGCTATACGCCTTAACGAGTCCCGACATTAAGGTGCTATATGACTTCAACAGCTTCCATATCAATGAAGGAAGCAAAGAAATATTGTTTAATCCTTTTCAGCTTGCAATTATAAAGGATCGTAGTCAACTCTTTAGCAGGACAGTGATAATTTAAAACAAATTTCAGTGTACGAAAGTTACGGAGGATCATGTTGAAGTTCTCAAAACCATTCTAACAATATTCTTGTCCAATGAATTGGGTGGAACGAAGATTCTCGTGGTACTTGAAAACAAAGAAAGATAATAGACATGGTATCATGAGTTCTAGAAAAAGAAATCATTACTTGGCCTGCACGCTTTTCTTGCTATAACTATGTTTCTAGTTACATTTGGTCCTGTATTTCATAGAAATCAAAGCACATCTTGAGTTAATTTTCTCTGACACATATTGCTTGTGCCGAAGTTCGAAAGACGTTAAGAGATCATAAGTCTCAGTCTTCTGCCGCCATGTGAAGAAAACACAAGGCTTTATATACTGCGTGCAAACTAAATCTCTATGATTTTCAAGGTGGTTTGATGCTTCAGTTGGGTTTTCTATTAGATAGATGATGGTTTTGGGCGAATGAGGATTCTATTGTCAGAGCGAAAAAGAGCTTAGAGCGTAATGTGCAGTGACTGAGAAGACGATCGTGAGGAACTTTGGACCGATTAAACTACGTTTAGATGATTAAGCTACGATTAAACTACGGTTGTTTTTCACAGTGTCATTTATCAGAGAGCAATTCATAGCGCTACATAGTTCCTTCGGACGACAAATAAAAAATTAATCTCAACAAAAAATGTATTAAGCTTTTTAGATGTCTATTTAAGGATAAAAATTTTAACATTACGCAATTTTCTCGTGAAAACGAGGCTTTTGGCCCCCTTTACAGACCATAATTCAATTTTAAGCACTTATGCGCAAGAAATATGCTTAAAAAACTTTAACACTTTAACTTTTTTCCCATTTACACAGTTTTCATTGATTACTTTCATATACGCAAAATCGAGACATCAAACATGAAAAAGAGGCTGATGGCCCCCCGTATAACATCCATTTTCGAAATCAGCACCCTTGAATTAACCAAAAGCACTTGGTCCCATAAATTTCTCCCTCGATTGATCATTCCTCTATTTTCCGCCTGGTCTATTACGAATATCTTCCTTTTTTTCTTCATCATTAAATTTACAACTCGGAGGGCGACGGCGCACCTTAGACTCGTCGTCGAGGCTGCACCTAAGAACTAGCTTTAATCAAATTGAATCTGGCAAAACTAATAGTTCTGGCTCATCAGACACTTTGGGGGAAATTTTTGTGCACTCGCACCGGAGGTGCGGAACTGTTAGGGCACCCGAGTTCTTGTCAGAAATGACCATACCTGCTAGCTGATGGTCTGACTACCTATGCAGAAAAAACTGTTAAAGGACTTATGCACCCAACTGGGCGCCAAGTTTTTTCTCTAGATACTTGTAAGTAATAGCTATCTGAATATGTCTGCAAAATATTGCCACGATCTGGGGTTTGCAAGGCCCCCAAAACTACTATTAAAAATTTGGCGGGAAACGTATCACGTTATGCTGTGATGCAGAAGCTGACTACCTCGGCATCAAAATCATTGAACCTAGACCAGTTGCTGAAAGGAGAGTCCCAAGACGAAAAATTTTTGGATGATGTTTTTCTGGGGTAGGTTTGGGCGTAGAATTTGAATTTGGATGTTGATCGGACATGCGAGGAGGCGTTTTTGAGAAATGGGGGGTCGAAGAAGAAAATTCAATGTCTCACTGTATAAATCGATTTTGCAAAGGAGATATGAGATAGCTATACCTGAAGCAGTATATTTGCAAGTATATGTATATCTATGAGATGACAAGAAATATGAATTCCCGATATTTTGTAACATCTTACTGATGGCTTTTTGGCGAGGAGGCTCTCGAAATTTTTCGAATCTTTTATTTCATATTTTTTATCAAAACAGGTCGACTGTTTTGTTAATGGTGATCAATTCATTAAAAGTAAAGAAATCTTTGTAAATTAGGGAATCAAACCTTATTGTGGAGCCTACGAAGGTACCCCAACAGAACGGGCTTCAGCGTGGTTGGAGGAAAAAAATTTAACATATCACAAGTTTTCCAAGGAATTTGGGAGGCATGGATCGTGCAAGTAAAAGGCGATGTTATCTTGATTAGAGAAAATTATTGGTATCCAGTTGGGGAAGTGATGGAGGGCATGGGGGAGGCTTGTGCTTTCGCGTCGGAAAATTCAAGTTTTCAGTGGATATTTGAAAAACTTTCAATGTGTCGGAGGCCCATCCAAGATGTTGTTTTGTCAGAAAATCGTAGGCTCGAGCCCAGCCAATTGAAAAGCTGAAATTCCGCCATTTTTGTATCAAGTCAAAAATAGATGCAGTCGCAACAAGGCTCATTTAGAAGAAAAGCGGACAGGGCACGAGTTTAACATGAAGAGAAACATCTCAAAAAAGTAGCTGGCTTCTGAAATACTTAGTAAAATAACTTTCTAGCAAGTTTTCTTAATAAATAACTTTAACTGAGTTGAAAATGCACATGACTAAAAGCAATAGAGTCACTTATGTTACTGATATAGGGGGCGTGGTGGTAGTCCAATATTGTTTTATCAGGCGAGTAGGCAACTCTCAATCTCCATTACCAATCCCTTGGCTGAACAAAATAAAATTTTTATAAAAACTTGTCTATTCTCAGCTTTTATCAACTGCATGCTGAACCAATTGGACGATAAAATCAAAGCAAAAAAGAAAGTTCAAGCAACTTCCAACTCGAACTAAATTTCACTCGAAAAAGGGATAAGGGCAGAGATTCGAAAGCTGCAAATAAGTCATAAATCAAACCTTTTGCTGAATTTTAAAAGTAAAAAATTTCCCACTTAGTATCGTCATTCCCTTTGCTCTAACCTCATCCCGTTTTCTTAACCACTGCATCCATTTCCTTCCTCTTGTAAATTCATTTTTAACCTACTTCATTTGCCACGCTTTCCGGATTTTAAATTTGGTTCCAAACGTAATGTACTCCTTACGTCCCAAACTAATATCCAGTGATAACAACTATCTCAAAATTACACATTTTTGCAAAAAAATAAGCCCTATGTTTTTCAAGTGTAGGCCTATCTCTGCTTGTCAACTTCTACGTCACATGGTCGCGTGACACTTTTGTAAAATTGCATCCATAGCTGCCTCCAAATAAAAATTTTGTCGGAAAACTTCGAAATGCTTAATTTTTACTTATTTTCCACCGAATTTATCAATAAAATGACAGGGTAAAATAAAGGCGACAAATTCAACTAACTTTTCGCTTTTTTCGTGATAATCGTGATAATCGGGCAGTAGAAACAAGAAATCGTGTAAATTGATCATGCTTATCGTCAAAATTGACGTCACTCGCTCCGATTTCGAAAGGCAAAATGACAAATTTTACATCAAAGAAAGGGTCTTGGCATGACTGGGAAGTTTCAAAAGGTGAATCATTTTTTGTAATAAAATATTTGAAGCTCTACTCTTTTCAAAACTTATAAACCCGATTGCATGAATTCCGAGACGAAATGCTAGCAGAAGCAGTTAGATCGCACCCATGTCGTTACGACAAAAGAAAACTAGACTACAAATACAAAAAATGTCGTCGATTATGCCTATGAAATAATTTTACATAGCTTTCTTTGTGTTACATGATTCCTTGCTGTAGACCAAACACAAATAATGAGAGGAGGGGGGTGGGGGCGGTGGGGGCTGAGCCCCTACTACTACATCCATGCACTGGACGATTGTCACGATAAAAGCGAAAAGTTATTTGAATTTGCCGCCTTTATCGCGATAATCGCGCAGTAGAAAAATGCTTGCAAAGCAAACGGATGCCATTTACCACCATGTGTGTCATAAATTTTTGTTCATCCTTTAGGCTCGCTGCATTGATTGGTCAACTATACCGGTCTTGTGCTTGCGTTTTTCTGATTGGCCTATTTCGATCCACAATTGGGTATATATTTTTCATCGTGTTCTTTCGGACCCTTATTCTGACGTTTTATGCTCTGAGGAGTGTCAGACGAAAAAGTTTTTAGCTAATATATTGTGAAATGTTTGCTTTTTTCAAAGCCATTTTCAAGTTATGTACCGCCAAAACACAGAAAACTTTTTGGAAGGTTTACTTAAACGGAACTTTGGATAGTTTACTACTCCTATGTAATAGCAGTTCTTCTTGACCTTTCATTTCTAGGTGTTTTATTTTGTTTAATGATATGATGTCTTTTTGAACTTGGTTAGCTTGGTGTTTTGTTATCCTCAAGCTAATTTCATCTATTTCTATAGCTATTGATATTTTGTTTGAATAAAGAACATTGAATTTTTTTATCTGAACCAGACTACATATTTATAAAAATTGAATAGAAGTAAGCAAGTATTTTCTAAAAGGGGCGTTTGCCAGCGTTATAGAGGGCGTGTTCTCAAAACTTTTCGGGCACACCAATTTCAGCCCCTCCACTTTTAAACTGGTGCGCGGTCCCTGGTAAAGCCCTGCCTCACCCTAAAAACAAACCAATATTTTATCCGCAACCAGTGAGGTGATGGGCCTGGGTCATTTGTAAGAAACCTCTTCTTGATACATGTGAGACAATTTTCAAATAGAGGTAGTAAGCAAAGGACGGCTGGATTCTCACCAAGGATTCACACGCCAGAAATTTTCTCTATATGCGAGCGGCATACCTATCTCGAATACTCTATAAATATGAGTGGAATGCCCAAAACATGGTTTTGGAAAAAGTCTTTTTACACATTACGTCTTCAGTATCATGGCTGTACAAATAGACCGTTTTTTCATATTGTGGCCACTAAAAGGAGGATTGCAAGAGATAGAGGGTATAATGAGCAAGTTGGTACTTACGATCCTCTGCCCAACACCAGGAATGAAAAACTTGTAAGCTTGAATATGGACAGAATCAAGTACTGGTTGGCCCAGGGTGCTGAGCCGTCTAGGCCTGTTCAAGAACTGTTTGCTCTAGCTGGAATATATCCAATCAGGGGAACATTAGTGAGAAACGCAGAAAGAAAAAAGGCCTCTCAGCTAAAGTGTTCGGAGAGCTCAAGTGAGCAGGAAACAGAGTCTTAGTCTTTTTGATAAAATTAATTTACAGAGATTGAAGGATGAAATATATTAAAAGCGATATGGTTAGACACTAGACAGTGCTTTTGCAGGTTGAGCTGCCGATTGGAGGTCTGGGTATTAAGGTAAAAAGAGATGTGTGACAAGGAGATAGTAAGCACGATCCCATCTGGAATTTATCTAGTAATGGTCATTTAGAGAGCTGATTTAAGTCAAGAACATTACTGATATTGCCTTGTCATCAGACTTGTTTGAAACTGCTTTACTTCAACTTCATTTCCAAGGGAGGCATTGCTAACAGTTTCCAGCCATTTGTCATTACTGTTTGTTTTTACTTGAGCTTCGTTTCCAAGGAAGACGTGGCCATTAAAGTGTGGTTTTTATTTGTTGTTAGACTTATGTTAAGTTATGACTTTGTTTGTATTGGATCAAGTTTCAGACAAAAAATATTTTTAATATCAATGGTCTCCCAGTCTGGTTTCAGCTTGTTGTTATAAACTGGGATTGTTGCAGATGCACTAGATTTTTGCAAATTGCAGAAGTTGAAGAAAAGTCTCTAGTCTGTGACTTACTTTATAGATTTAACACAATAGTTAGCTCCAATGTAAGGTAAACATATAAAAATATTGAATATACTTTCTGATCATGGGTAGTACCCCAGTTTTAATATCACTCTCAACCCTTAACTTCTAAAAAAAAGTTCTTTTATCTTCTGATAGAGGCCAGCATGCTCTTATTGGAGAGAGAATATCCTCTCACAATGGCCCTTGCAAGTAAGATATTTTGTTCACAATGCATAAAAGAGGCATCATGGCTAACTGAAGTCTGTCCAGCTCACCAGTCAAGTTGTAAAAATATTTACTTAGAACTTTTTTTGCATGTTTATTGATCTGCTATTGATCTGCTATTGCAATGTGTCAAATTTTATTCGAACATTTTGAAAAAATTGGTACATTTCATCATTTTAGCAGAACAATGTGAACAACCACCATTTTGGCAGTGTCTTATTTTGGAAACCAAGAATATGAACATAAAATGTTATTAGACAATCATAGAGATATGATTGCTTCCAAACCAATTGATTTTTCAGGAAGAATTTATGATTGTCTCACTCTTTTAAAAAAAATAAGATTTTTGGACCTGATTGCAACTCTCTATGAAACATTGGCTCAGTAAGATACTCCTCCAGAAAAAAGGAGCAATTTTAATGATCTTTGTCACCTTGTTTTATTGCACTATAAAAAGCTAAACCTTGCTATCCATTTTTTCTTGCTCAACCTCTCAAGTTCATTTCTGCTTGCATATATTTAAAGCTCTTTCATGCCATATAATTTTTTGGCACTGGCATTACTACTTTGTTTTACTTTAGATTTTAAAAGTCTTTCTGCTGACCCTCATTCCTCTGCAAACTGAAGCAGCAAGAATCTTATTTCAATTTGCATTTGATAAAGATACACCAAGGAAAAGTTGAATGCAGTTATGCATTTAAACTGGTAACAGAGTGCCTTCTAATAACTTTTAGATCTAAAGAAAGTCTTTGTGAAATATAATTTGGAGGCTTATCCAACTGGCTTATTTTTCTTGCAGAAATAAAACGAATACTTACTCAGCTTCAACATTTCTTTAATATGCCCAAATTTATTATACTAGCTGTTGAGGCAAAGGCCCCTCAAATGCTAGTAATTTAAAAATGAAACATTTATGGAACAATTCTCCTTTGTACCAATGGTTCTTAGGCAACTTGGCTGGCTGCTCATATCAAGTGAATTTTTGGGGGTATTTTGATAAAGTGAGATAATTCTGTTTTTTTATGTTTCTTTTTGGTTCACTGCTTACTGAAATTCACTACAATATTTCCAAAAACCCCCTATAATTATGTGAGTCAAATCCAATTTTTAAATTCAATCTTTGGTCTCTTAAAAGGATAATTTAAAATGTATTTTTTGCAATCTGTGCTCAAAAAGGATTCTTTCTTCCACTAACAATTTGTTTCCTTTCTTCAACCATTTTTTCCTCCAACCAATTCTTAAATTTCAGATTGCTTTTTCTAAATGATATACTATAAAATGCTTCTAAGGCCACTAAATAACAGTTTTGCAAGACATTTCTAGTAGCATGGTTGACTGGCTGATGAAATCTACTCTGTTTTGTTTACACAAGAGGAAATTTTCAAAACACTTCTGTTTCTATTCTAATGTTTCCTTCTGAAGCTGTACATGTTCTTATATTGTTCTCATTTTTTGGCAAATCGAACCTTCTGTGTGTTTTTAAAGTGTGTTTTTATAAAGTCTATTGTGAGCTAAATTTTTTAAAGACTTAATAACAGACAGTTGATATTATGCCTTGTCTAAGTGTAGTAAACAATGTCCATTTGTTTGCAATGACCCTGCTCCAGCTGTTGGCAGCACGACTGCCAGCCAGTTCTTCAATCTGTCTCTTTGGCCTTTCTTGGCGTATTTAAAGTCTCGTATGATAACTTCTAACGTCTGAAGCCAAATAGCTTTAAAATCCTTTCATTATTTATGATAGAGTAGTTCTGGAAAGACCATTACCCCTTATCTGAGCTCTAGATAGTTTCAAGTAGATAACTTTAAGAAGAACTTTGGATATAATAGTCGCAAATGGCGTTCTTATCAAAAACACAGAAAATGCAAATATTCAGACATTCAAGAACTAGAATGCTCTGAAAAGGTCAAAACATTGGTTACACGAGGTCGCTGTTAGAAATTACTGTCGAAAGCTTGTTTCATTCAAATGGAAAGTAACTGTTTTGTTTTGTGATAAAGCTAAGGATATATCTATTTCCTCTGCCTTATCACACTGCTCTACACGTGGCGAAGCCATCAATCAATAGGCATTTGTATCATGTATGGGGTGTTTGTAGCGTGGAAGATGAGAGGGGAACTCTGACATTGGTTTGTCATTCACCAGAAGTTTGAGTATCTGGTTGACTAAACTCTTTGTCATAAGGGGCCCTTTTAGGGGAAGTTTGCTTCGAAACATGGGATACTAAACGGCACATAAGACAAACCTCCTGCTTTCATATTTTAATTTTAAAAGGGTTTTTAGTCGTACTTTGCAAGAGCACTTGAAGCTTGGGTGTCAGGAAATAATCGGTCATTTAAATGCACATATCCTTAACCATCCACAACAGCCTTTCTGGCTGCTTTCCAAATTCTTTTCCCTTCGTTTTCTTTGGATTTCTCTTAGCAATATGTTCAAATTTTTGTGAAAAGTAAGAACAAACAAGACCTCATTGCAAATGCCCTTACAATCAGATTCCAAATTGACAAAAGAAACTTTTTTCTCGAGCTGCACCCTCCCGCCTCTACCAGAGTACAAGAAATGGACAAAGTTTGTATATGTTTCCTTATATCGCTCATGGAAAGCAAAATGTTTCCTTTTTGAACTTGAAACTTCAATTTACAAAGCAGAAAAATGGTAATTTGCTCTAATAAATCACCTTTGAAGACTAATTTCATTCTTTATATTAGAACACTTTCCTGCAACAATAATTAAATATTTTACATGAAATTAAATATCCTAAAACTACCTTTACATCCGCTTTAATCTAACAATATTATTTATAACCTAATATATCAGCCATCTTCAACCAAAACTGAAATTCTATTTTGGCAATATCCCAATACTAACTTCAACTTTTTACAAACAACAAATTCAATATTAAACCGTACTCTTTCCTACGTTGAAATTTTCCTGTCCTCTTCGCCTTCGTTCTCCGATTCGCTTTCATCAACATGTTTTGCTCGAATACTGGCATAATTTTCATCTTGTTCGTCATGTTCCCCTCTCTTTACCCGTGAATCGTCAACAAGAAAAGGCACTGACCAACCAGATCTTGAAGGAGGTGTCGTGTTTACCCTCCATACACCATGCATCGGAGTGAATCTCTCGTCGCAGTGAAATTTCATCTCTTTGCTGCTCGCATGTAGATCTGGTCTATACTGATAATGAGAACGAAGATTCTCTGCGTACTCCAAACAACATGTACAGCCTACACAAGGCAAAGGTCGAGGGTAGTATGCTCTCGGGTGATGATTGGGCATATCGTCATGAGCCACCGAGGACCGTGGTCTCGGTAGGACATAGTGTGTCGGATAGCGAGGTACTAGAGTAGAAACTGTAGCCAGAGATTTGATGCGTGAAGAAAGACCAGGAGTAGTTGCTAAAGTTGAGCGTAGAGAGCTGAGTTCTTTCAAAGCTTTAGTCAGCTTATTCTGACGAGGTTTATAGTGATAGTCAGGGTGATCTTGCTTGTGTTGTTCCATCAGCATCTTCGACTGCTTGATGTACGGATCTTTTTCTCTGGTGGGCAGCCTCTTCCACTCCTCTCCGAGAATCTTGCTAATGTGTGAGTTATGCAAGCTTGGATCAACGCTCGATATCTTTCTCCGCTTCTCTTTCGACCACAGCATAAAGGCATTCATTGGTCTCTTTACTTGTGACTGCCTCTCGCGTTGCCTGTCGTCGCCGACTTCTTTCGTCTCCGCGTTGCTCATTTTGCTGCAGATCCTGAAGGAAACAAGAGCGTTCAGTGTCTTGATATCTATTGCTTTGCAAACCTTACGTGGCTTTGTCTACGCTTGCTCCAGAAGCAAGCAACTATTTAGGCCGTCGATTAGATTTCTACTTTGATGAAAAGGCGACCGAAATCTAATCAATCACAACGAAAGTGAACTTCAAGCGGCGAATTCTTAAATGTAATGACTCTTGTATCGGCCTGTGTGCTTTTGTAGAAAATATGAAAGTGGCTACCAGGTGCCCGCAGCACGGTTTCTTGAATTATACAAAAACGATATGAAAGAGATCTTAACATTAACATCACGATTAAGTGAAAAGCTTGTCTTATGTTCTCACACTATCGATATGCACTTTACACAATAAAGAACAAAAACAGGGGTTTTCGATAGCCAACTACGACGGAAAATTGCAAAAAACAATCATTTTTAGGGTCAATCAGTGTGAGAAATTTTCGTAGCAAGGCT